TTTACAGTAGTTCTTTAGTATAGAATGTTGAGGGATTAGGATGTGATGTACAGTAACGTTAATTGTCTGTAGATGTATACTTCCAGTCGTTGGGATTCGGGGAGTACATAGATTGAACCGCATCATAATGATCAAACTATTTGCAGTAGGTTTATAGAAGTCTTTGGCATCAATTGAACAAAGAACCAACCAACAGTCTAGACCAGAATACAAGAAAATCAAAAACCAAGAAATGCTGTAAAATAATTAAACAAGATTGAGACATTCAAATAAAATAGAAATAAAAAAACAAGGAAATAAAAAGAATAAACTCAACGAAATGAAAATTTTCAAGTCTGGTAGACCGACTAGTTCACCGACGTCCAAGCGGCTAGCTTCGCCTACCCGCGGCGCAACCCAACAATACCACAGAAGAGAGGCAATTGCAATGTCGCCATCAGCCATGACACAATGGCTGAGCACGACATGATACTAAAAAATCTCTACAATTTACAAAAGAAAATTAATGGGAGATATCAAATCCAGCCCGGGCAAAGCCTAGACATGTAATTTATTGTAAAAGCCGTCTAGAAAGTAGTAGCACGGCAAAGCGCGATATTGGGGGGAATATGTTGAAAGGGACACAAAAAGCAGAGAGACAAAGAGACAGATCGACTCAGAATGAGACACATAGGGAATGAAAAAGAGAAATCAGATCAAAGCACAGGACTCCGACTCCTTGAGAATGATGCAGCCAGACCCGTGGGTTCGATGGTACAATTTCAATTCTTCTGGGTGGAGTGTTGACGTGTTGATGTTTGAGCGTGTTGAAAGGGATGACCACCCGGGTTCCAGAACCTGGCGATATGCTGGTGTGGATTTATTGCTGTTGCAAGGGTATCCGAGAACAAAGAACGCCGGTTGTCCATGATGTGAGTGAAGCGGTCTCGATGTAACAAAGAAAACGTGTGTTGAAGTATGAAATTGTTTGAGGTCGCGGGAATGGGGTATCGGCGACTCAGAAAGAAACAGACGGGTATCAAGTGTCTTAGTTAAAGACTGTTCAACTTTTGCGTGTTTGTTGAGAGCTCGTGTTTCGGTCTGGGTCATCCGTAGAATTCCCGCTTTGTTGATATTAAAAAACTGAGAGTCGAAAGAAAAGAGAAAGACAAGAACTTTTTTTGGGGGTTGTCATAAATGTCATAATCTCGTTCAGAACGAGTGTACTGATGTTGACGCAATGCATCTAGGCAGTGCCCTTGAGCTTGCCCCAGCCCTTCTCCAAACCACGACGAGCCATATCGCGAGCACGATCAGCGACAGATCCGGTACTGGAGTTGGTAGCTGTGCTGGCAGCAGAGTACTTGCGGCTCAGGCTAGAGCTGCTAGAGTCGTCGCGGAACATGGTGTTACCAGCACCACCGCGGCCCACGTGGTAGACGGGGGCGGCGCGGCGCAGGTCGCGTTCGAGCTCTTCGTCGAAGCTGAAGATGGCTCGCTCGCTGCTGCTGTGGACGTTACCGGCACCTCCGCGGCCAGCCATGAAGGTTGTTGGAGTGCGGGAGTCGAGTCGGGTCAGCGACGCTGGACCGGTTGCGGTATGCGAGGGAGTCGTCTTGGTGTTCTTGAGGCTAACGACGTTGCCAGCACCACCGCGGCCGGCGTAGACTGCTGGGCGGCCTGCGCGCGGGACCGAGGGATGCGGTTCAATAACGTGGTAATTTGAGCCGGGCATTGTGATGTGAAGATTGAAGATTAAAGATATGTTGTAGATGTAGAAGTATTCAAACGTGAACAGGCTAGCTGCGAATGCTATAATGACAAGTCCATGTGAGGCTGCGCAGAATTTGCAGAAATGAATACTATGGGACCCTCCCTAGCAACAGCGGGGGGCAGAGAGTTATATAGTCCAAGGGCCAAAGAGTCACGATGCTCCACCAGGTACCATCCATGGGTCACAAGGTGCCTGTGGAGTATTTTCTGGTTTTTTTTTATTGGCATTTTCGCTTTCGTCATTGTGTTACAGCGGCCAGATGTGTTTCCCATTAGGGTGCTGTGTCAGCCCCTTGTGACCAGTTTATCGGGTATTATTGGACCAGGGCTCCCCCACATGGCCGCCCGACACATCCTAGCGCATGCCGCTTTAACCCTCTTGCCGCCCAGCTGGGCATGTCCAAGTCATCTGACTGGGGCTGCTCCACCACTACCAAGTGGCAACACGTAAAAGAAACTTCTTCATCCAATCATTATTTCCATTACCCCCAGGAAATGCAGAAAAACCTCTCATTTCTTGGTCGTTGATGTCCAGATCGTAACATTCTTTCACCGCATATACAGTATACCTTTGATCACGTCAGGTGTTGCAATTCTACTGTAAATGATCTGACTTGATGCCAAGGAAAATCTTGCACCTGCGGCATATTGCAGTATGGCGTATATAGATATATAGCCATAATAGTTAACGTTATAGTGAGGTATATACATACAGTAGTAGCAACTGACACATATAAAATACCAGAATACCAGGTGACTTCCAATGTTGTAATTTACTGCTCCAACAATTGCATCATTTGCCGGCCCGTGTCCACTTTCTATTTCCAGAGTGCAACACAAAGCACGTCAAGGCTGATGCAATACTGCCTATGCAGCACATCTAGAAGATTATTCTAGTTATGTACGCATGTACTGTACAACTACATAAGTTATTGTACTAGAATCAGCTCCCTACATCTCAACATTTTATTACTAGTATAGTACATACCGACATTCAAAGGGACGCAGATCGCAGCACAATGACTCCATCCACTGAAATTTGCGGGATAATTTCCCCTTAGCGCATCGTCGATCCGGTCTAGTTCGCGTATCGGTACCTGAGGGAGGCAGATCATTCAACCTTGCAAGAATTCACGCAATCCCTGCCTAGACCGCCGAGAAAATAGTGTCTACATAGGTCATTGCTACCTCACGCCACTAGAATGTTCTCGTTAAGGAGTCGAGCCGAGTAATCCGATCAAAACCAAAAATCGTTCAGGGGCTATGACGACAAGTCCCAGACATGGCAAAAAATATTGAAAGAAAAAGAGATGAAAATTTTTACCCGTCGTGTGATCTGAGTGGCCGAGAGATCCGAAGCGGCGTGTCAGGCAAATGAACGCCACTGTCTGTGCGTTTCCCCAGATTTTCTGCCCCAGACTCGGCTTGCATATTCTTTTCTCCTGGATATCCCTCCGCTGGGACCCCCGGGCTATGTCATGTGTATTAGAGCGTGACCTTCTGGCGAACACCCCTAGAGCCCCGGCTTCCTCTATCCCTGTTTAGGGAACCATTCCGCCTCACGTGGGGTTAAATGCCTACGCCTACGTGTCTATGCGGGGGAGCATACAGTATCATGGCAGGGTTTTCTATACCTAATTTGCTACCCGGCTAGGTCAGGTACAGCAGACAGCAGACAGCAGATATCCCGACATCCCAATTGGAAGGGAGAATTGACTCGCAACTATACAGTACAAACCACCTGACATGCAGTCGACACCCCTGCGTCATAGCACGACACGACATATCATACTGTATTTCACTAATATCACATCGCACAATGCGCGATTAAACCATCCATTCCACCATAATGCCATAATACCATAATACCAAGCACGTAATGCATAATCCACTACCCCCGGGACTCTAAACTGTCTACCCCAAATTGTATCACACCTGCATACACTAGCACCATCCAACTCAACCTTGGAAGAATCCCCCCATTCCTCACCCCGCCCTCCCCCAACTTCATATTATCTAATAGTACCGCATGATGACACATGATTATCACCGCCGCCAGGTCGAGACCGGCAATACCACCCGGTTAGTGGACGGATCATAGCCGGGCGGTACGGGTTGTACCTAGGTAGAGGTAGATGTATTACACTGTGGTATGGGGTCTAGATGCGAGGGCTGGGGTTGGATTACTTGATTTGAACGTCGACTCCTGACCTACACACCTCAAGTTACTTTCTCAAATGTGCGGTATATCCAGGTTTACTGGGTTAAGTTACTTAGCTGGTGTTCCTGCTTATCCGGTCCCCGTGTTCGGATGTCAGCTCGGGTAGGCGGACCGAACGAATAGGGTCGAGCTGGGGTGTTACTATTGAGTAATTGTTCAGCTGTTGTTTAGGCATGTTTGGTGCGTTGTTTTGTACTGGCTGAGGCATTTTGTATATTATGGAATGGTATGGAGTGGAACGCATTTCCGGAACTGTATCTTGCAGACGAGGTCTGCGTCAGCTGTGTTACACTTACATTTAGGTGTTGAGGCTAAGCTCGTTGTGTTGGGATTTGGTCTAGTTGGGATGTTGGCGCATATTGCAATTCATAGTTTTGGATATTGGTAAGGTATGTACTTGAATTGGGTTGAACAGGGGAAATTGGCTGCCTGCTTTGGTTTATGTCGTGCTGGATTGTCAGTTTTGGTATCTTGCTAGGTTCAAGGTTGGCAATGTGTATCTTTGTCTTACTCAGCCTACTTTTCTCATACTCTACTACAGATTCCTCAAAAGTTCCGTGATCAGCCTCGGATGTAGAGCAATCCTGTGTACCTGGACTGAAACTCATTTCTTGATCGTGTAGTACAAAGCAGAAAAACAAGATTTCTGACCTGGTTGGCAGTCGTTTCTAGAATGCTTGTTTGGAATTTGTACGAGCTCTGTCACCATGGAATCCCGTGGGATTTTTTGTCTTAACTTCGAACGAGTTCTGTTTATGCAACGGCTTCCGGGATCGAGATTCATGTTTACGAATAAACGGGAAAGTGAGCTAGAGAGTGAGCGATCTCTGGGTTCCGACGTGAAATATGACGGTCCTCTTCATTTTGGTTTTTTCGTTTAAGATACATGTCCGCAGTTGACGAATTTGCAGTGGAGCTCAGCCCTAACGGCGAGCCTCACTCTTGGCAGCAACGTCTCCATCCTCAGAACTGCTCGTCATTTGAGCGTCGACATCCCTTAGATCTCGTATTATCAGATTGTTAGGCTTCATCCCTCCAGGCTCATGCTCTGCTCTCTCTCAATAGCAGCCTCCGTCTTGATCTCGATCTTGAGATCGTTGGGGTCGACACCCTTGGTGTTGATATCCTTGGACTCGGTCTTCTTCTTAGCCACGGTCTTCACACAATCAGAATCGACAATCACATGTTCAAGATGGTGGTCAGTGAACCCAAGGGAGCGTGCACTAGAACGGACGTGGGCCGACACCACAAGCCGAGCGTAGAACCGTCCTTTCGATTTGGGAGTAATGACAGTGCTCATAAGCTGAATCAGGTGACCCACATGACAGGCGCTGGTTCGGGCCGTCAGGTGGGATATCGAAAAGCGCATACTGAATATCATGCATGGCGTGAACAGCTCGGATGGCGCATCGCCAATCGTTGTAAAAGCTTCTCAAGGACTGCCTTCTCCATGACAGCCTGCTCAGTACCGATATCAATCAACTCGGGGAGGATATAAATATCTTTGATGGTGTCGAGGAGGTAGAGGTGCAACTTGGTTGCTGCTTTGCGGACGGTCAGGATGCCTGGCTGGGTATTTTCATTACCCTCGTAGAGGAGGCGGAGGGCACTGGGGTCCTTGATTTCAAAGGCGAATGGGACACCCCAGGATGGCATCTGACCAAAGGGGATCAGGCCGCCGACTTTCTTTGTCTTTGGCAGGAAGAAGCTCATGCGTAGGGAGCCGTGGCGGTTGACTGAGAGGAGGATCTCGGTCTCGTTGGTGTGCTTGAATGCCACGATCGTAGACTTCTCAGTTGACTTAGATCTGGGGATTTCAGGGAGATTCTTCCCGACGGAGGATAGGGAGTCCATCTTGATGTTGATCAAGAGGTTGGATGAGGGGGTAAAAAGAGTGGTGCGGAGAGAGAAGTATGATCAGATGCGAGGTCATTTTTGGGGTTTATAGACGCGAGGACTTATCCAAGGTGGAATGACATGAGAATGGACGCGTCGTAGGGCTATTTCTCGTCATGCGTCAGTACAACAGCGGCCCACGTGCAAGAACAACGGTTTTTGATATAACAGAGATATAGTACTACAGTCCTCAACAGTGCAAAAACCACAGTTATCCACAGAATAATATTATAGCGTTTATTAGGCTTTTGGGTCTATAAACTGGACATGCAGTGAAGCGAAGCGAGGATCGTTAGTCCTAACTTAAGCTACAGACGGTCGTCACGTAGTGAAGACCCGATTGAGATGTAGTACCTCAAAATATCAGCACTATGCATACTATCAAGATTAAATCTACTGTGTATCCTGTGTCAATATCCCAGATCAAGAGTTTCCAAGCTGGGCATCGGAGACCCAGTGACTCCCGCCAGCACATCGGTATCCACTGCTTTGACGAATCCATCGATAGCCTTGAACACAGACGCCCATTTTCTTCAGCTTCATTTGACTAGCCTCTTCCTTGCGTCGTGCCTCGACCAAAGCCTCTTTCTTCCTCTGAAGTTCGTCCAGCAGATCTTCTTGTCGTCGACGTTCCAATTCATGCTTCAGTCGAGCTTGTTCATGGCGCCTTTTTTGCATCACGAATGCCTGTCTACTATATTACTTACGAACCACGGCAGGGCCCGAAACCTTGATGGTGATGTCGTCACCTCCGGTCGAGGATCGAGTGGTTCCACTCGTGTTGCTACTCTTATACTCGCTTTTGTCGAGGTTCGTACTGCTCTGGGTCACCTGCCTACTAGCCACCCCCTCGCCTCGCTTGCTCGCCTTTCACAGACTCTCGGCCGTGAGCCGTAACTGCGGCTCACCAGCGTGTAATACTCAGAAGTTGGATCTCATAGAATATAGCTTAGTAACCACTGCCCTCTATTAATAGTCTCATTATAATATACTTTGCCTTACGGGATAACCGCGTGACTAAGATCATGTTCCACGACATCAAACAATAACATAGAATCCCCTGATTCTTTGATCCGTCTAACATGCCTGACAAAGTCATGCAGCTTCAGCATGCATATGCTCTGTATGGGAAAGTGGCGCAGATTTTCCAGCAAGTCCTCCCCGGGGCCGTCGACTTCAAACATGGATATGAAAAGAGGGAATGTGACGGGAAATGCTCCGGCGCCCTGCATATTCGAATGGGCAAAAAAAGACGAGATTTCATGAAAAATGCAATTAGCGTAGTACTGCCCGAGGGTATCTTGGACACCAAGGGGGAATCGTAGGCGATGAATGACAAGCAAAGCTGCAAGGCGGTAAGCTTTGGCTTGGGTCGTCATCATTTGCCTTTCTACCTCATCGTAGGCAGTGAAGAAATCTGGTGGAATGTTTGGTGCCCAAAGCTCAATGCTTCTCTCTATGTCCGTGTAGCAATCTTCAGGGTGCTCTCGATCCGTCCAACACCAATCCACGGTGGCCGCACCGGACTTGGCTGCGTGACTCTGCACACATAGACGGTATAGAAAAGGCAAGAGAGTTGAGCATAGGCCGGCGTAGCGATCCACAACAATCCGGTCTTGTACACACATCCGAATTATAGGTATTTTGCGATATACCAGACAACCCACTATGTCCATAAGAACCGGACAAAACGTGACAGTGTCGAAGGCAGGTACTCTGCTCAGAAGCGGATACCATGGCTTGGCCGAGATAAGCGCACTCTGCACAATAGAATGCGCTGAGGTCGTGAAGTAGTTGGCAAGAACCTCAAAAACAAACAAGGCCTGGCCGAGGAGAAGGACACAGAGGGCGTCTTGGGGACGCATAATCTCCACGTTCCGTAGGTTCTGCAACGCTGTTGCCCCCCTGCATAGGTCGGGAGTGGTCCAGTGTAAGTGAGAAGCTTGGCAATGTGCTACCTGGCCCAGGAAAGCAAGATAGCCGTCTGTCACGACTGGGCCCGAGTGGTACAGGACCGAGTATATTGCCCGTCGGAGATCTTGCATGAAGCTGCGTCCCATGGCAAAGGGAATATGTACTGTCGTAAATTTGTCGTCGTCCGTCAGGATGCCTATCGCATCCAAGGCAGTTTGTGGTATGAAGCGGTGCCGAAGCACCTCCTCCAGAAACCCACCTAATGCCATGTTCTTGCTGCTCTCCCCCACTTTTGCAGATAATGACGTATTGTCAAAACCGATGTTGCCCCGGCTAGAATGGCGATCGAGAGTAGAAGCACCTGGCTTGGCGTTGTTCGGGTCTGCCTCGTCGTCTCGTCCGGGCTCCCAGATCTGTAGACTACCGTGAGCAAAGGACTTCAAAACTGGCCGGCGACCCTTCCGCTTCTTTTTACGAGACGTATAACAGAGAATTCCCAGATACTGGCACCGTGTGCATGCCTCCGCCTCAGGGGCGAAAGAGCACTTCTCTTTACTCTGGTAGCAACGGTCGCAGGCCATCGGTGTCATGGTGGCTGACGAATATAGTGGTATTGTGTGAATGGGAGAAGTGTGTAATTTCATCCGCTAAGAATCCAGTCAGGATGGGGAGCATAAGAGGTTGGCAGATCATTGTTTGCGAGTCATGAGAACGGGAGCATGCGAGTGATCTTGGCCCATACCCCCAGGTTCCCAGTCTCTGAAACCCATCATTTAGATCTCCGCAGTGACAACCAATACTCGTGGCCTAGTGCCTGACCTGGTACATCTTCTTAATCCTGGTTGGTTGGGCTGATCTCAAAAATGGCAGGTCTAACGGGATATGGAAAAAAGGGTCCGGTCACACCAGTTGAGATTGGTCCCGCTGACTATCGAGGAGAACGTTGCAAGCCAGACCTGCTCGGATATTAAACCACTGGATAAATTAACCCTGCGCCTAGCTGTTGTAGTATTTTTCCGCTTTTTTTCCCGGAGAATTCGTACATTATCGTCGGCGAATTGTGCACCCGTCTCGGTCAGGGCAAGACTACCAAGCAACCCTACCCTTGAAGGTATGCTAAAGAATATTAATTCCTTGGCGATCCTTGACATCATGGGGTTATCGCGCTCATGGTATGCCTGTAAGGCAATTCCAATTCGATCTTCAAGATTTTGAGACATTTCAATAAGAAATGGTGGGATGGTAGATGAATAAAAAGAGGTGGTTTGGAAAAAATGCATTACGGTAGGGCGGGAAGGGTCCGAGTAGTAATCTGATCATGATTTTGAATAGGATGACTATGGAAATTTCTTAGGCCAAGATCCCTTCCTTACGTCCGGCCTGAGGTACATCCCTTGTCCTATGCTGGCGTCAGACACACCTTCGTCCCATTCTTGCTCGCCAGAGTCAGCGTCAGGGCCTCCTTGAAAGGCTGCCCATCTCGACATTCAATACTCTTGAATCGTCGAAGAATACGCATAATGGTATAGCTGGCTTCTGTCAAGGCAAACTGCTGACCCGGGCAGATCCTTGGCCCGCCATTGAATGGGATATAAGCCCATCCCGGCTTCAGACTAGCCCATCTTTCCGGACGATATTCTGTCGCGTCCTGTCCAAATACTGCCGGCAGACGATGCATGCTGTATACGCTGTATATCACCTCCTGTCCCTTGGGAACAAAAATGGGGTCTGTGCCATCCGGACCACCGCCGACTGGGAGATAGGTGTCTTTGTTCGCCGTCCGCGAGTTGACTGGCACAGCGGGATACAATCTCAAGGCTGTCGATAAATTTTAGCCTCGGTATCATTTCACTATTTTCTTCTTTGCATGTCCTGTATCCACGCACATTTTTCTCTGGGGTCAGGGAGGGATACAGACTTACTTTCTTTAAGGACCCAAGTAAGATAGGTCATTGACTTCAAGTCTTCAAAGCATGGTCTTTCTCCCTGGACCGTCAGCACTTCATCTCTCAGCCTGTTCCAAATATCAGGCCGCCTAGCCAATATGAAAAAGGTGATGCTCAGAATACCCGCGGTAGTGTCGCGTCCAGCCAGCAGGATATTCAAGAGTTGATCAGTTAACACTGTCCGGTCCGCAGTTTGCTTGGACAGCTCATAGATAAAGACGTATTGCTGGCCCTGAGCCTTGGCAGTGTCTTTACCATCAACATATGCAGCTCGATAGTCCAGAGCCTTCTGAACGAATTGATCAACGAAGCGACGGGCTTCGACCGTCGCCTTTGAGAACGCAGTATCTCGGTGAAAGATCATTAGAGGCCCGAGTCTAGAACGAATAGCTAATCCATCCTGAGACTTGTTGAAGTCTTTTGCGAAGGATGGCTGCTTATCTCCGGCACCGAGCGAGTCAATAGACTCTCCGAAGAGAAACTCGGTGGCAGAGTCCATAGTCTGCTCCGTAGTTTGATTAGCATGAACAACTCATCCCAAAGGGTCGGGTTGTAGGCCTTGCCATCTGAAAAAATAATTCTTGCAGGTCCACGGTCGACCCATCAAGGGGTATATTGTCAATGAGATTAGAGACATGTTTTTCGTAGACATCAATGTCAGCGACTTGATTCCGGACAAAATTCGGCCGCACGAGAGCCCTTGAGTGTTCCCATAACTGGCCATCACTCGTAAAGATACCCCGTCCAAGAAGTGGTGACATTGCCTTGCTGCGAGGAGAGCCCAGATCAAAGTCTTTAAACTTGAGTGCAAGGATGGCTTGGACATTCTTGGGCTCGATGGTAATGATGACAATACGGCCCAGTGACGTCTTGAAGGTGGTCCCATTCTGACGGTGCCAGCTTCGCATCAGCTCCAAGGACTCGCATTTCTTCATGGCTAACACCAGAGAGGTTACTCTGCCAACACCAAGGAATCCGGAGGATGCCACTCGTGGCTTGCGACATTGGTGCTCGCGAGAGAATCTCCGCTCTGAAAAGCTCGGTTAGCCTCAACTATACATTTGAAACGAGGCCTGAGCAGCTTGGGTAGTGTCCATACCTGCCGATAGGCGAAGTCCTGCGTTGATTGCGAGGAACGTAAAAATTACCAATAGCATAAGGTACGCAGCACTTTCTAAATCTCCCATCCTTTTGAAGTCCATCGTGGTGGGTTTCTGTTGTTCAACTTCTCACAATAGTGAGGCGGCAGAGGGTGCAGGTGGAGAGCAAGACGATCTTTCTGATCAGAAATGAAAGGTTCAAGTTTGGACAAACTCAGAGTCTGAACTTGAGATCACTCTTGTCTTTAGATGGGTCTTATATCGCATTATATGTCATTATTTCACGCGTCTGATGCCTCTTTGCCCTGTGAAAACGAGGACTTCAAAGCGCTCTAGTTCCGAGGTTAGCAAAATTTAGGCCTGCTTACGCCGATAATGGTCGGATATATCTTTCCTAATGCAGTAAGCAAACAATTAACGCTTGTGATTCATGTGTTTCCCGTGCAGATGAGAACCCCGGTTCTTCGGCTGAAGATTCATGTCGTTTATTAATGGGGCCGGATAGAAGTTTCTCAATTTGGCAAAGTATGCATGCATCTTTGGTAACCCCCCGTACCTTGGAAACCCTCCACCATCCTGCTGACTGAGATCACCGATAAGCAACACGCAACTGGGCCTCAAATTTGTGTCTTCCTAGATTGCCCGCATTGATTCTTTCCCGAACTTGCCTTTGCGTGAGAATATCTGGAACTCTTCGCATGGTCCCTACAGACAGTGCCGAGGTTGGTGGTAAGAAGACCAGGTTGATTGCTCTTTCGCGCATTCAAAAGTCTGTCTAAAGATGGCCCCACATTGGACTGCCCCGAGAAATTGTACAGTCTTCGGGTTCTATATGGACTTGGTCAGCAGGAACTAAAGTTGAAAGACGAAATTCTCGATGATCATGTGTTTTGTCAAGCCTTGCGAGAGGCCGATAGGTTCAGAATATCTACCGTAACATCTTGCTCTAGCAATGGAGATAACTCGTTTGTAGCAGAGGCCCAAAGGCTCGCGAACTTCGTCGATCTGTCATATGACGCGGGAGCAGTCAATTCATGAATGGTTGTAATTGTTTTGCGCGACTTCACACGAAGTCTTCATCAATGTCCGAGGATAGCACGAAGGTCTTCGATATGCGTAGCGGAGGCTCTCTGTTTTGCCTTTCCGTTCTCGTTGACAGCATACATATCTTCGATAGTAATTCCTTTTCTGTCCTTAATATCAAGAATCTCCTTTTGAAGTTTCTTCAACTCTTCGTCTTGAGACTGAATTTCTTTTTCACGCTGTTGAGTGATCTCGCTAAGCATGACGGATGCAAATTGAGATTCAGAGCTTGACGCCAGTACACTGATATATCCGATATACCCCTCTAGGCTGCCACTATTGATCATAGGCGTGGAATCATTTTTTCCTGAATTCAAGGATGATGACTCGATAGGAGACATAACATAAGATGGCTTTGATTATATTGCTCGAGAGAATCTGGAAGGTCTGGAAAAAAAAACTTATCGGTCAAGTTGTGTCAGAGAAGATAGGATGTATATATTCGTGGAATGGCTGAATATGAGTCCCTGGGCATTTCTTTTTTGGGGATATAGTGTCTATTTGGTGGCGCTGGGTATCTATTGAGGTAAGCAGGCACGTGAATGCGTCACGTATGGCAAACATAACTCTTTTTTCAGTTTATATATATAAGCCCGTTGGCAAAGTACCTAGGCCCTAAGCTAGCCAGTACGTATGAATGGTTCTCGATATCGGTTATCTGCTAACGTCCTCATGCCAGACAACTTTCTACCAGGCCTACTATGATGTTTGTCTCGGCGGAAAGTTCTTCAAGAAGCTTGAGCAGTTGCATATAGTATATGGTACTATAGCCCTCAGGTGAGGAGTTAACAGTCACTTAACTTACATCACCTAGGGATCAGATTATATCTCTTCCCGTTGAAGGTAGCAAAGGTGTACAGGTACAAGTCAAGGCGTAATGAAGGATATCATATTTCAACCCGGATATATTGCCAAAGTGGGCAAATACATGGCTAAGATAGTAAAGAGATAGACGAGCGCCGTCGTAGCCACGGGGATTTGAAAGACGTTTGTACATAGGCTATGCGAGGATACATGATGTGTGGAGATCAACGTTTTGATCACAACGCCTCGGTTGTACAACAAAATGGATTATCTCATGTGTACCAAAGCACACATTGCATCAATCCATATTCATTTTATCACCACAAAGTCTTCACAAGATCAAAAGTGTTGTACTTCAAAGAGACCCTGGAAGCAAATACGATAATGTCCCGACCTGTGCCGTATCCGTCCAATTGAAGATATCAATGACTCTATTTCTCGCTATTTATGGGCAATTTTAATAAGACAGTGGGCTCCGGGAATACTTATTTCCGAAGCCATTCGGATCATCTGTTGATCCGGTTTCCATTCACTATTTTGCCATGGCCGACCGCCCGTACCGCCCTCGCCATCGAGCTCCGAGCCCTGCTAGACTTACTCAGTCACTTCTTCCTGATTGACGAGAGCTTCGCATTCTCTAAGGTTCTTCTTCAAGTTACGAAATTGAAGCCTCAGACAATCCCTGTCAACAAAGCCCTCGCCTCCTGAGCGACGCCTATCCCGAAAGGGACTTTTCCGTCTATCGCGCGACGACAGCAAAGTACTTGCTGAAGAAACCACCAAAATGCCAAAATATAAGTCCTCCCTTGATATGATACGTTGAACTGGAAGCTAACCGCTATGTACTCTTCTGTAGGTGTTTCTCCAGACTTGAAATCCGAGCAGCAACGCCGAGTCACATCAAGCTATTTCCGGGCGCGCTGCGACTCAACGACAGATACTCCGAAAACCATGGCCAGATTACTGACATACACTTCATTTCACAGGCGACTATTGCGATGTATACCTCACGCACGACTCGATGAGCGTGCGGAAGGCGCATAACTCGGGTCGTAACCATCTGAGGAACGTCGTCGAATACTACCAACGTACGTTCGCAAGACACAACACAGCAATGTATGACAGAACGGCTAACGGTATGGTCCCATACAGAAATCGGTCAAGAGAAGGCCCAATCAGTCATCGACTCAATCACCTCGTCCTACGCCGCTGAGGGCCAGCCTCTCCCCAATCCCGCAATGGTGCCCGGCGCTTTCCCGCCGCCATTCGGCTTCCCTGGTATGAACATGCACACCCTCTTCTCAATAAACCGAAACAAAACTAACAGTCAAAAGGTCGACCAGGCCAAATTCCCCCTCCTCCATTCGGCATCCCACCCCCCGGAGCCCCCGGTGCACCAGGCATGCTTCCTCGTACGTGATCGCCTAACACAACCCCATTTCATCCAAACCCAAGACTAACAAGCTTCACAAAAACAGCCCCAGGCGCCCACGGCGGTCTCCCCTTCCCACCGCCCTTCAACGCAACAGGAACACCCCCAACAGGCGGCTTCCCCCCACCCCTCCCCAACATGCCCCAAGGCGCAGGCCTGCCCCCTCCACCTCCAGGCGGCTTCCCCAACATGCCTTTCCCACCTCCCGGTGCAGCGGGCTTCCCGCCTATGCCCAGTGCCCCGATGGGTGCTACGAATTCGCCGATTCCTACTGGTCCGCGTGGCTCAGAAGGGTATCCTCCTCCCCCTGGCGGTGGACCTCCTCCTGGGATGGATTCTCGGTGGTGATTTTGTTTACTGATACCTCTTTCTAACTGATTTCTCTGCTATTGTTTGTTAAGATTGGGAGGTGGGGGTGTGTGGTGTCGGATGTGATATTGATATTGATTGCTTTGCGTTGGGTTACATTGCATGTATCTCCGGTACCATCCTCTCTCTCTTCGTGGGTCTTTTTTGTTTAATGTAAAATAGCGATTTTTCTTCTTATGTTTCTCTGCTTCCTCTATCCATGTTACACTCCATCTCAGATGAATCTTTGCGATTTCAACAGGCGCTTCTGTCTGCTGTTATCAGATCATGAAATTGGATTCGCTACAAGATCCTCAGACCATATCTACCAACCTAAACCTAACTAACGTAAACCTAACCGTGGAAGATTGAGAATTATTTGATTCAATTGTAGTCATAGATTCGAGTTATTTTATTCTTACATGGTACACAGTACACAGTTGTAGGCAGATAATTCTCATTTTTAGACACTAGGATTACTTTCCAACAGGCACAGAGAATCAAAAACCCAAAAAGGGGAAAAAACGAAATATTTCGCCGGCAGATGCCAACGAACACCGCGAAAAGAGAAAAGAGAAAAACTTAAAAACCCAAAGCCGGTTACCATATCCAGAATGCATCAAACGCCGAACAAAGTCAAAGACAAGGAAAATACAAGTCGATTGCGGTGTCTCGACTAGGGAGAGAAGAAGATAAAGAAAAAGAAAAATAGATCAAGGTAAGAGAAAGTAAATGGGAAGGAAGGGATTGAGGAAAGAAATGGATCACACCGGTTATAGAGGTAGGTGGATTAAGACGCAAGGAAGTCAAGGTAAAATACAAGTCGCCAGCGAGAAGTGTATAGCGGACTTGGGCAGAAGAAAGAAGTAAAAAAAACCGAACCCAGAAGATGGCGATTGGAAAAAGATCATAGACCATCGCTATCCCGCGCTAATAAAAATCACATATCTTCATCTCGGAAGCAACAAAATAGAAGGACTGGCTTTTTAATGATCGTAACCAGCTCCCCTTTGCCATGGACTGGCGTTATTTTGGGCCCGGTAAGTGGTCGACAAAGCAGATTGGCCGACCGGGGCGTTATCATAGCCCCGAGCGGCGGGCGAGGGAGACCGACCAAATTGGTCGTATCCGGGGGAGGACCGCTGTTGGTAGGGAACAGTGGCACTGATGGGTCAACCGGCGAGGCAGGGGCCTGGCGGACACTGGGGTGGTGCGGGTTGGTGGATTCCATCTGGTGGTGGTGGCCGATGCTGGCACCATTTCCGCTTGAGATAGAGACGGCGTCGTCATCGAAGGGGTTGTTGTGGTATTGTCCAGACTTGACATCACCGCGGGCGGTGGCACCAAGGGCGTCCAGCTCGGTAGTCAGCTGGGTCTGGGACTTGATGAAGGAGCCACGGTCGTCACGCATGGGCTGGTAACGAGTATCGGGGTTCTTCGACACAACGGCGTACACCGAGGCGATCAGAACGAGGATCAGAAGTACCAAAGCGAACACGGCGTTGTAGACAAAGAAGATGACACCCATGACACCAATCATCAGGCCAGGGGGGTTGAAAACGTCGGAGAAGACCAGCAGGAAGATGGAGTTGAGGAAGTTGATGACTGCAATGGAAATGTTGTAGATGTTGGTCTTCTTGTCCATCCAGGGACGAAGGACGCAAACGGCGATCAACATGGCGAGTTCAAGAACCACGAGGGCCACTGTCTGCACGACCGGTGCAGGTTGGCTCAGACCGATGAACATACTCTTAATCAGAGTATAGATGAGGAAGGGAACGACGAAGTAGTATGCCGTGGCCCGGTACTGCACGTATAAGAAACCCCATTTGTTCAGGCAGGAAGGATCGGAGTAGAGGATGTAGGCGGGGTTCTTGTGCATGGTGACTGAGCGCTTTGCCAACCGGATAACCTTCTGCGCGGCCCATCCGAGAGAGACGAGCATAGACAGAAGCATAACCACTGCCAAAACCACCTCAGCCGCGGAGTCGCGTTGAGTGAATTCCCAGAGACAGAGGACACACATTTGAGGGAAACCGATCAAAGTGAGACGGAACAGAATGCCACGCAGGACAACTTTCCATCCATTGCGGAAGTCCTGGAAACGGTCACTCTTCATTTTGCCGTGCTTAACGAGCAGCTCGGTGATACCCTTGAATGCTGCAACGATGATGACGACAAAGACGACGAATACCGCGAAGAAGATCAGACCAGTGAGGAAGATGTTGGTTTCTTCAATGTTGGAACGGAAGCCGACACGATCAATACCTCGCACGACAATGAGCTTTTGGTTTGAGTCGGTTCGCTTGAACAACCCAGCTGCGCGCTTCATAATTGGCGAGTTAGAGGCTCTCTTCAGCATGTTGAGTGCAGAGTCGGGAAGGTCACGCTTGCGACGCTTGAGGACTTCAACAGAAGTATCACCAAGCTGGGACAGGAGAGTCGAGGGGGTTCCACCAGTTGCTCGCTGATACCAGGTCGCAATGGTCTGGATGAATCCAACGCGGATAATACCCATACTCCATTGGAAGTTCTGAGTCCATGCCTCCACAATTGGGGGCATGTGCACAGAGGTCATGCCAATCATCGCTTGCGATTGCATAAATCCGAAGAGAGAAAGCGCATTTGCTGCAACGTGCGCCGCAGTATTAGAGTGACCGAGACCAGAAGTAATAGCGGATGCAGCAAGACCCAAGCCAGAGATGACAGCAGTTGTCCATGCGACTCCGACTTGATCCACTGTTTTACCGTTGGAAAGTGAGGCTTGGACACAAGCAATCTTCTCTTGCGTATCCTTTGTCTTGATGGTAATGCGGACATTGGCGTCAAGGTCTGGAACGGTATAGGCGATACCTGGATTCGATTCATTTAGCATTCCGAACTTCTTGTCATCTTGAGCATCGCATCACTCACCTGGAATGTTCGCGGCGGTGTCCGAGGGCAGATCGAGAGACAGTGGACCCAAATCCATCGGTCCAGCAGCCATAGGACACATGCCCATGCCACTAATTGAGCAGGGATCGAGGGTCTTGGAGATTGCCTCGTAACCATAGGCGGTAATTGTCAGATCCGCAGTGACCTTGCCCGTGATGTATGAAACACCATCAAATCCGATCACTAGGGAGTTATTGCCCGGATAGAAGACAACGTTGAAGTATGTTGCTGTGAAGTTGCTACTCTCCATGCACACATTCAGAGCATTAGATTCAAGGAGTTTGATAGCAGATGCCATCGGCGCCAAAAAGGCGACGAAGCATGTCAGAAGCGATATTAACCGCATGTTGGCGTGTCGATGTCAAAGATAGTTTTCGCAACAACGGGCGATTATTCGGAAAAGGTGAGGGGACAAGTGACAGCGGTTGTGTGAGCGGCACTCCAGAGTACCACGTTGCCAGCCGCCGGATGCGGAAATCTTAAGACGGCCGAGTCGTCGGTCGCCGTGGGGCCGAAGTATTTCCCAATGGATGCCAATGCTGTCACAGCACTGGCTGTTTATCGTAAGTTGTTTTGGCGAGAGGTCTCTGTTGTGGCGATCGAGCCTTTACTGTTTCATTTGAAGGTCGGAGAGGCGGAGAGGCGGAGGCGGAGGCGCAGACGCAGAGACGCAGAAACAGAGTGAATAGTCGCAAGGAGTGACTATGTTGGTTGGTCGAAGATGAAGGAAAGTCGATAGGTCAAGACCTGAAGGAGTGAATAGAGCAGACTCAAGAAAGCAGCCGAAAGAAGTCGAGGAGCGAGTGAACTGGCGATACACAGTATAGCCGGGAAAAAGAAAAGGGGGAATATCGGTCGAATTCAAGGGAGAAACAAGATAGAAAGGGAGTAGCACTTGATTCCCAGGAACCGTGAAGAAAGAGAGAACGAGGGTGAGGAGAGGGAGATGCCCAGGTGTGTCTCAGGGAGGAAGAGATGGCGACGGTCAGGTATGTGGTAATTACCGTAAGATGACAAAGGCGGCTAGTGTGGGACCAATCAGAGTCCTGTATTTATGTTTGAGTTCGTTCCCCTTTCCCCGTGATGGCATCGCAATGACATTTTGTTTCTATTCTATGGTCTGTGATCGATGCTAAACATCTATATATATACTCCCATCTTTACTTCTCTTCGTATACAAAGCACACGCATCCACGTTCTGGCCGGAAGCGGTGGCAGCGGGTCCTTCAGATTTACAATCTTTGTTAACAATTAACTGTACCAAAGGAACTGTTGCCCCCGGCTGTGGAGTGCCACCCGAAATGTGCCATCCGCTGTGGACCGTTACTGCATGTCTATGTACGTGAACGGAGGCACCTGGTACATGGTATATTTCGTCTGCCTGATCCATGGGCTAATCGAAATTAGGTCATTCTTGGGTTATATCTCTCCCTTAACTCTCAAGGGGGCCTCACCTAGAATACCAACAGGTTCAGTTCTAGATACACCACTGTACATGTACTAATCTCCTTGGCTAGCCTAACTAACCCTTGGCGTGGATATCTTTGTCTTTTATTTGGGTGCCTGTCGAAAATTAGCCCTATAGATCCGGGGGCATTTCTTCCCGAGCTAGACGCCCTAGTCTACCCGCTGGGTCTAGAGCAGAAAATCATCTTCTTATATAGATGTGTACAGTACATACTCTGGTCAGAATATTTATATGTCATATAAAAGCGTGTCTGGAGCATACATGTACGTGTTGTTTGAAGAATTTAAGTTAACTTCCACTTGGAAGGTATAAGGATCGCCAAGTTCCCCCCTTGGCGTTCGATTGCACAGCCTCGTTAGCATACAGTAACCCCCATCGCACACTTTGGATCAGACATGTTTCAGAAATAAAGGAATCTCCAGCATACGCCATTTCTGAGCTTGACATAATTTAGCTCCCCCTATTCACTTTGACGTCCTCGTCTTGTAGGCCACATTGCCCCTGATCATCGTGGAGAGTGTTGATCGGGACGATCCCTCACTCGCGTGCTTTGATGGCGTTCTAGCATCCCGTCCTTATAGATTTAGGAGCTGAAGTTGCGCACACTTGTACTCCATGCTCCGTACAATATTTGACTACGGTACGTACATTGTGGTAAAAAGGGGGTCGTATTCGTGTACATACGACCCAGTATTTCTTGTCAGTGCGGCTATTTTTGGGTCAGGGTTTTCACGGATTGCCTTGTCATTGGCCCGTTCCTCCTCTCTAGGCATGCAATACTTTAATGTGATTGGCGAGAAATCTCTGTCTCTTCTTATGTCTTCAATAAAGTATCTGTATTGTTTGTTTAAGTTATAAGTTAGCAAGCATAAAAGTCTGTAGGTATTAGGGCCAGATATTAGTAGTTGACCAGTTATTGAACTAGTCT